ATGTGACTGCTTTGTTTAGGTAAGCATTCGGGCATTTGTATAGGCCGCACACTCCGAAAGAGCCCACTGCGAGTCTGGATGTTGGTGCTTGCCAACATGAGCTCCTCGTTTCCAGGACTATTTGTCTTCGGATCCTGCTGCCATGCAGCTGCGGCCCTGTCATCCTTGGCATCATCCTGAGGCCCTCGGCGAACGCTTCGAGAGCCATGCACTGTACATCTTCGTCTCAAGATCCACTTGTGTGGGTTCTGTTGCATACATGGCGGACGTGCGACGGTAATTCGAGGGGAAGAATTGATATATTTCTGCCTTGGGAGAAGGTTGGAGCATAGACCAGATGGAAAACAAAAAGATCCAACCCTTCCAATGCACACTTGCTTGCTGCAAAGGAGTATGTGTACTGTTCGTGGAACCAGGCACCGGTGCCTTCGAAACTTCCAACTGGCGCTGCTGCCCGGATCCCCTTCATCTCCGCAGTTTCTGCATCGCAGCTGACCGAGCTCACGGAGGAGTTTGGGGTTTCCAACACTTAGGGGGTACCATTTTGGGGTCCCCATAATGAGGATTAGAGCGTATTGGAGTCTATATTTGGGTTCCCTTTGTTCATGGAAACTACGAGTCAGTTCAGGCTGCTGAGGGTGAATTTCTAAGCATTCCTTAAGCTGTCCGATGTGCTGTTTTAACATCTTCTTCATTTCGCAGGCATCGGTGCAGGTTTCAACTTCATGTCTGGTTTTTATGTCAGCTTCCAGAAAAACTCTCAACACGCCTGAACCCCAGGAGATTTGCCCAAACAATGCGAAGAGTGCATGTTTCAGGACCACTGGCAACGGTGGCAACGGAGCCCCGTGAGGTTTGCAGAGGCTCTATGCCTTGCGCGCGACCTCACGGAATCCAAAGGAACCCTGAGCTGGATAAAGGCTGTTCCTGTATTCAGTTGAGCGAGGAGGTTCAGGGCTTCGAGGTTTGGAAATTGTGCCACTGAAGTAAGTAGGCCATGATAAGCTTCCGGAATCAAGACTTCGTCCAGAGCTTCTTGCATAGGTCGCTGCGATTCTTTTGATACTTTTGCAGAAGAAGACAGAGAGACTCAGGGCCTCAGGGCCCCCCATTCCCGAAAAGCTGAGGCTCCGCGGCCCGAGTGTTGGAGATGGGTGCGCATCCAGTCCTGGCAGCCGCCATCAAGGCTCAGGGAAACAGCTTGCCAGGTTTGGAGTCTAGTAGCGCTAGTAGTTGCAAATTGCTGTGAGGGCTTCAGGTTTGGGGGGTTGAGATATTGCTCTGCTCATGTCTTCGGCAGACCTCGGACGTTTAGGCAGCCAGGCGGAAGATGGCGGGAGCCTCGCTTTGTGCGCTAAGTGCTGTTGGTGCTATACATGCATGCAGCACCGGCTTCATGACCGACACCCTGCGTGTCAATGTTCATTGACATCAG